TAAACCTCTTCTCTGCATCTTGGATAATGCTCACAGCCTCATCCATGATATCGCTCCCCGCGCGCCAGGACCTCAGCACCACGCCTTGCTCACCTAGCACGTGCTCCGCATGAGCCCATCGCTGGCGCCAGAGGATTTCCTTCTTAGTCCCGTATTGCTGCTGGTCGCCGCCCGGTCCCGCAAGTGTACTTCCCGTGCTAGTACGATTGATAGCTTGGCGTGGGGCTGCGGTGGAAAAGGGTTGGGAGGTTTGCGATGAGGTTGTTTGCGGGCGCGCGTGGTACGGTATTGAGGGTGCGTGCTGCCATGCTGAAGAGGCTTTGGAGCCCACATACGACGCGGCGTTTGCGGCAGTGTCACGGTTTCCGCGTCGGGGTGGCGGAGGAGGTGGACCCTTTCGAACACCGCTGACTTCTAGAGTTGATGCATTTGAGCTGGGCGCTTCTGTCGATCTCAATGCAGGTAGGTTGTTGTAGACGGACCATAGCTTGTCGCGAGCCATACCGGCATAGGTTTGCTGATCTTCTGGTACCGGGCTCTGATGGGTCATGGTTGGCTTGGGGCCTACCGGAGGTTTTGGAGGTCCTGATGTGTTGACGGCTGTTGAGGACACTCGGGGCTTTGGTGGCTGTGGCTTTGCGCCAGAAGGAGGTGGTTTGAACGGTGCGGATTCGCTCGTAGGGCTTCTCAATGCGATAGGCTTTTTAGGAAGCGGGGGCGCGGACTTCATTGCATTCGACACAACTGAGGAAGAATGTTTCTCATTGTCGGCTCTTATTTCCGAGTTGAATCTTCTCAATGCAGGCGACTCATCCACATCGTCATCCGACGACAGATCTATCAAGTTTGGTGCCGATCTTTGCGCGGAGGATTTCCTTTCCGGCAACTTTGGTTGTCTATCGTGATCCAGCTCTGGAAAGAGTGAGCGGGGACGTTTGTCATTCTCCGCATCCATGTCACGCAGTGACGCTGCAATTGCAGCCTTGAGTTCGGGATCGTGTTCTTCAGAAAAGGATCGAGCCTTACTTGAGGCGGCCGAGTTGTCTCCACCGGCAGCTTGCACTGGTGGCGGAGACGTAGAGCGGCTCCCTGAAGTAGGACCCGTCGAAGGGTCAAAGAATCCCGGGTTATCTGTTGTGGTGACGTCGCGGATGAACACTGCAACGACTCTTCCTGGGTTCTCGAGGACGAAATCGGTGTATACCTCAAGATCAGCCTCGCCACTATCTCCGATCAAAATAAAGTTGCGCTCTGGAAAGTCCCTAGCAATCTTATCGAGCGTAACCTTCTTCCTCTCGGCAACGGGCTCAAAGATTCCCTGTAGCATACCGCTATACTGTTTTAAATGGAACGAGCCTGGCGGCAGTCCAGCTAACGAAAAGTATTTTGAGATGACCGGATACAGCTGCCAGGGAGAGTTAGAAACGTAATGGAATTTTACTCCCATTTCTGCCATCTTATTGTACCACTCTCTAACGCCGTCGATGGTGAGATCAAGAAGATCGCGAATGAAAACGTTGCGGAAGATTTCACGGGCGCCACTACCAATAGCAGAGTGCTTAATTGTGTCGTCAATGTCGCTTATGACGCTGATACCCTGTGAAGCGGTGACAATGACTTCTTCCGTTGCCGAGAGTCTGTCTGATGCTAGGATGCGTACGTGAGTAGGCACGAAATCCAACGCTGCGCTTATACTAAAGTGTCCTGCGGCGTCTGTATACACTGTCCGCTGCTTTGAGATGGTTTCATTGTAGAAAAAGACACTTATGGGCGTGTTAGCCATGGGTATGGCAAGAAAGTGTCGCAATCGAGCCATGAGCCGGGCGTTGGCCTCGGCAAGCTCTGCCGGGCTCATTTCAGAAGGCTGGTTCCAGGAGCCGCGTTTTTGCAAAGGCTTGATACTAGCCTCACTCCGCATGGAATCCTGCGATGTCTTGTGGGCCAACTGATAGACTCTGTCATTACCGGGTCGCATGCTGTTGCCACTTTCCGTCCGGTACAGATCGATGTCATCGTTTTGCGGAGCAGGCCTCTCACTGTAAGCACCGCGTGCAGCAGCCCTCGCCTTGCTCTCGCCTCTACGCAGGATCTCCTCGGCTTCTTTAGCAGCAATTGCTTCGTCTCGCTGGGCGTCGCGTGTATGGGCTCTTTCACGATAGTCGTGGCCTTGTGGGCTTGTATCTCGACTGCTCTCTGCAGATGAGCCAGATGCTTGTGCAGGCGCCTGAACACCAACAAGCTGGCGTGCAAGGCCAATGAAGAGCCTCTGTTTCCTTGACATTGGCCCATTGTGTGGTGAGTATATCCAGCCACGGACATCGACGTCTACCACCGCATTATCGTCCTCGTAGTTGTTCCACTGCTCTTTCCAGAAGTCGGCATCTCCCGTGTTATTCGATTCGTGTGAATTACTCCCTTGGCCGCCAGTTTCTTGCATTGCTGTTGCTTGTGCTTCTGGCTTCCTCTTGACGTGTCTTCGGGCATAGCTAGGGAACAGAACCATCTCCTCACGTCCGCTCCTTACGACGGCTGCATCGGGAAATCCTCCGGGTGTATCATCCTCATAATCGTATTGTGCCTCTCTATTGCTCCAGTTTGAGGCATATTGTTGCGTGTATGTCTGCCTGAGCTCGTTGGCCGCCTTGAGATAGCCGGCCAGCTTTCGTCGCCGCGACCCCGGCTCCCGTGCTTCATAGCTCTCTTGGTACGACATTGCGGGCTTACTCAATGTCTTTTCGCCTGAATTCTTCGCTATCTGCTGTCGCCGTGCCCTTGCTGCATCTTCGAGGTAACTACTGCCAGCCAGGCGTCGGGTGAAGCCTCGCAGGCGCTGGGCAATGCTCGGCTTGCCCCGGAGTCTGAGAGACTGGCGATAGACTAGGTATCTGTATATACGTGCCTGGGCACGGTGCTTGAGCGAAGGAAATGTCTCGTGGCGGAGTTTGGAGAGATGAATGCGCGCGCGGGCTCGCGTCCGAGGGAAAAGGAAGCAGAGGATGAAGTCGCGGCCGTGGGCAGAGGGCTTACGGCGAAAGGGCAAATTGGGCATCTACCGGCAGCTGACTCAACGGCTGTGACCAGCCTGTATATGTCAAGGTCGGGTTGATACGTGCAGCGCTGCTGGTAACGCGCGCCGCATCTTCTAGGCGTTGCTGCCGCTCCAATTAGAGCACGACGTCATTTGTGGAGGTGCATGGCGATCGTGTGGTTCAGCCCCGTTTACGCAGCCACACCCAATATATGCAAAACTCAGGGACGACCAGTGTCTTTTCTGTCAGACGTTGCACAAAGGAGGATACAGCTATTTGATGACTGTGGCAACAAAATGGTACATATCACTAGGAATCACGTATTATGTTCCACAGAGATTGCTAGTACAAGGCTACTGGTACAGTCTATGGACTGGGCTTTGTTACGGCTTTGCCAGAGCGACATCTATAGCCCGTGTAACATTTGGCACATCCTTCTGCAGCGCAGCAACAATCTCTTTCCACACCCTCGTTCTGAGCTCATTCATCTCAGGGCCTTGCAGACATGGTGGGATCGGTTGAATCTTGTCGCTCTTCCAAAATCTTCCGTGGACCTTCTCCCCCTGTACCGTCCCGCTCAACACTGTGTTCGCCCCTACGGGCGGTGTTCGCATAAACAAGAAATAGAACAGAAAAGCTAGAATATGAATACCCGGGAAGAAATGATCCCGGCCAATGTCTGTTTGGACCCAGCCCGGACAGACGCTCGTCACGATTACGTCGCCGGAGGAGATCTCGTCGGCAAGCTTCGTGGCAGCGTACATGAGGAAGGCTTTGGAAAAGCTATACTGGCTTTGCGCTTTGCGCTGCTCTCGCTTGTTATAATGGTCGAGCACGCTGGGTTCCTGGCGGACTTCCGGTGGAACTACGGCCTTCTGGTGGAGACCGGAATTGACAAACTCAAGAACTGAAATCCTACCCGTGTACTGCTTTGATTGTTTTAGCTTAGGTAGGAGCAGGATAGCCAAGAGTGTTGTAGAGAGAGTGTTGGTTTGTATGTCCTCTTCCCAGCCATATTGTGACTGATGGTAATCGACTCGCCAAACTCCAGCATTCAGAACAACTATATCGAGGTGCTCGAGTTCGTTTGCATGATTCGCAAAGGCTTCGACACTGTCGTACGACATCATGTCAAGTTTCCAGACCTCGAGTTGGCCCTTCCGCCCAAGCCGAGCTTCTAAATCAGCCCGGGTTGACTCTCCCTTTGCTAAATCTCGTGCTCCAATGATCACCTTGGCCGCCCCCAGTCTCGCAAACTTTAAAACTGCCTCTTTACCAATGCCGGATGTCGCACCAGTGACAATGATGTTTCTTCCAGAGAAATCCTCGTGCACCTCTTTTGGCGAGTTGAGCCATTTTTCCTTAAATACGTTGATCATGGCAGCTGTGTTTGGTATGGATGAAAGAGCAGCGAGTGCAAACCGTCAAGATACGTGACTTGATATATAATCGCAGTGAACAGGCGAGAAATATAGTGTGAAAAAGAAAAGAATAGTAGACACTTAAATGAAGCGCTGCCGTCAATGATGCGGCGTTACTCGGCTCCGATTCGTCCGCTATGACCTGGTACAGTCCTGGTCTCGACCAGGCGATAGTGGTGGTTAGACATACAAGAAGGGAGCATTATGACTGAACAGCTGAATACTCGGTCAAATGCTTACTATCCAGTCTTGTGCAAACTTTGGCTTTTTTGGGATAGTACATTAAACTTTATTGATGGTCAATTGTGGATTGAATTGGAGCATGAGTAGCGAGAGGCGTTCTTTTTGTTCTTTTGAGGGCATCAGCAGGTTGATCTATGGGACGATCAGCGAGTATGTAGAGAACCAAAGAAAACAAGACACAGAAGCCAGTTCCGTGCAGAGGGACAGACGACTCGAGCAGCAAGAGTCGCATCTCCTGGTGCGATGACTAGCGCGAGCTTGGCATACGCGAACCGTTGGCGATTTCGGGCATCCTCAACTACGTAAACAGCCAAGGTGAGAACACACAAAGCAACATTACAACACCTCGCCATGATAGCGCCCTACCAATCGCCCCCTCGCAACTGCTAAGCAAATCACTACAAGAACACCACCACCTTTGCTGCAATTGAGCAATCTTCTCCCCCGCCATGGCCTTCAACAACCAACAGCAGCCGCCCAGAGGCCCCGCGGCCGCTGGAGGTAACCCGGACTTCAACGCCATGCTCCAGCGCTCCATGCAGGCGCCGGGCAGCCAACTGCAGCCGCAAATCTCCGAGCTTCCTCGCGGGCCGTCGCCTGGTATGGGTGAGGTTGATCCGCCCTCGAAATATTGCATGGCGCAATACTAATGCAACTACCGCAGGCTACGAGGGCGTATACAGTGCCACACCACCACCCCAGCTGTCGCAGCAACAACAACCACATGGCCCCAACGTGCTCGGCGGAGCGCGTGGCGGTCTTCCGCAGCCGATACTCCCCGTCGACCTACCACCGCAGGCCTTCTTGACGTCGGCTATGCTGCTAGACATGGTGGACAGTATGCGCACACTTTTGTATGGCGTACTCTAGAACAGCATGTTGACACTGTACAGAGAAGGTTGATGTATTGCTCCGCGACGAGAAAGAGTATATTGGCATCCTACGTTCCTACGACCAGTTCGGTATGTCTGCGTGTACCAGCCTGCTGCTTTCCAAACCCATATCAGCTAATCATGCACTTAGCAAACCTTGTTCTCACAGAATGCTACGAGCGAATAGCAGCACGCAACCCCGACGTAACACCTTCCTCTGACCCCTCGGTTCCCCGATGGCTGATAAACGATGTCAAGCTCCCCGGCGTCATGACTGTACGAGGCGAGAATGTCACCATATGCGCGACCGTTGATCTCGACCGGGAAGAGCATCCCAGGGGCGCCAAGTTCGCAGAGGAGGATCAAGTGAGGGCGTTGGCAGCATCACAAAAAGCAGAGAGGAAGGAGATAGACTCACGGCGAGCAAAAGCCCTGAGGCAAGCAGGCATTGAGCCCGGGTTTGGTATGCAAGGATGATCAGTAGGATTGAGTCTTGTAAGCATAAAAAAAGGGAAGGGAAAAACATGTCGATCATGAAATGGATAAGTGGTAGGCTCAAAAGCCCTGGATAGCTACGTTGGCTGGTTACAATATCAATGATACCAGGACGCCATGTCCACCTGCGATGAAGCAACACTCCTGATTTCTTGGCTCCGCTATTGAGGCATTTCAGGCATACAAACACTGTCTCCACATGATCGTCAATAGTACTTGTCCATGTTCAAATAGCGGAGCTCTATGAGTGAACCTTGTCTTGAACATGTGAAGTAATGTGATTGACGCACACCGTATCAAATATGTATCTGCTGATTTGCAGTAGTCTCTAGTGGTGGTCAAGAGAGAGGAGCATAGAAAAACAAATCATACACGTCTTCTCCAGACGGCGTCGGAAAGCGGGGTTGAATTTGGCAGTATGCTGTACGTGATCAGGGTCTGAGCAACCCCCACCCTTTCTCAGCTTCCGCGCCTTTCCATACGAACCTAGTATAGCTGTTATGTACGGTTGTGAGCATGGAGAGCACCGAGTAAGCGCTTTCATAGCACGGGTGGAGGCTTATCAAGCTAATCGACACCGACTTTTGGTGACCGCAGCAGGTATCAGCAAGCTCCCCAACGCGACACCCACAGCTAAGTGGTTATAGAAGTCAGACCGGCATGCCTCCTTGTGTAACTGCAGTTCTCATCGAAGCGGAGCGGGTATCGCGTCTCGAGTGGGACATGTAGTGGGGGTGGTGGGAAGCGAGTAAGCGCCTATGGTGAATTGCTTTTGTGTAGAGAGGTACAAGGTCCGTTCCGTAGCCGGTTCACCATGCGGTCCGTCGCAAAGTGAGTCTAGAGAGGTATAAGGTCGGGGCGGCGGATTGCGTCGTGTTACCCAAGGCGCCTGGCTTAGCATTCTATGCAAGTTGGCGGCTTCTACTTACTGTTAAGTGCTGGTAAGTTTCATTCCACTAATGCACGTAATTGCCGCTTCCGAGCAACGACACCCGTCGGGCAGCTGCATCGAATCCTGTCAAAGCGCTCAATGATGTCTGTATGTTATCAGCAGGCATCGTGCGAACTTACGAAATGGATATGGTACAGTGTGGGAGCATGTCGTCGTCGCCCTCGACTTGCTGGGGAGGAGCAGCTATGACCATACAGCTTCAAGCCATCTCCCCAAGCCCTGGGTGGCAGCTCAAGAGAGTGAGAGACCACGAACAGATTCTTTTATCCCATCAAAAGCTATTGACCAGCTTCGATATGCCTGATACAATTCAGGCAAGGCTATCTTGCCACATTGGGCTTCTCCAAGAGTGTAGAAACGGTGTCGGCGGACCGCGGAGGTCACATCCGAGGTGACGCGTGCTTGGGGACGAGCGATTCGAGAGTCTAGTAAGGCTCCGTGCAAGCAAGACTGATGAAAAGCTGGATGAGTTTGGAGTGTACGATGCAGATAAGCCGAACAGCACATGATGACATGGTCGGCAGCCGCGCCCGGAATACTTGCTTCATTCCAACTGACCTCGCATGACGGCAAAATACAAAGGACGCGTTGAAATTGGGTGAGCAGGACGCATGCAATGCATCTGTCGAAGGAGCCTGCGACGTACAAGAGTTTGATATCAGAGGGTGCGGGTGTGGCAGCCGTAACGACATGGATGAGGGGAGTACTAATTGCTAGGGTACCATACTTTCGAGGAAGGCGCGCTGGACTGGTCCTTCTTCTTCACCACCATCCTTTCGTCACTCTACTTTTACCATCAGCTTTTCATCTTGCCCATCAGTTTGCGGAGTACCAAGGCGTTGAGCCATCTCCATCGCTACCCATGTTTGCATAGGCAGACACGCATCTCCATCCTCCAGCCCAATCAGCCCTACCCGACACTTTGCAACAACCCGACGGAAGCCGTTCGACATGAGTCCGCGTCAATTCTTGCAGGCTCCAGGCTTTTATTGGGAGATCAAACGAGGCTTCCAGCTTACACTGTCGTTGGGTCTACCGATCAGGCATTGGACAATTGCTCGACTTGATGGATTTTTTTGGACGTGCTAACACGTTCGGCGAACTCAACTGGCGGGAGTGACCTCCCAACTTCTTAGTGGACGACTAAGTCACAATGGATGCGCCGTTCGATATGTTGCCTCAAGCTGCGTCGTGGAAGATTGCACCGCCTACACACACCACTCCCATGTGGTCCACAGCCCCTGACTTACGAACATGCCAGCCTAGCACGAGCCTTGGATAAGAAAAAAAAAGACATGTCCATCTGTCAGCAATGAGAGAAGGTTGTAAGGAGACAGCACGGAAAATGAATCAAGGGCAAAATTGAGAAATGTACGAGACACGGCTTTGCACCGCGATTATTCCGACTCTTTCTATATTTGACCAGAGACACGATGCACAAAGACAGACAGCTACCACGCCAAGCGACAGCTGCATGTCGTGCACCAATCACCTACGGATAGCCATCATGAGAGGATTGAGAATCGTGGGAAAGCGTAGGCACACGAAGAAAGCGAGACATGTTGAAAGTATGCAAGAGTTGGGCCTAAAAGCGCAAACCCTGAGCACTGCCTCGGCTACGTACCAGGGCTTAACCACTCAGCAAGACGTCTGGCCCGCTCGGCGCAGCTGTTTCCAATTGTGCGGCTGTTCAAGGCCATGTTGGCTGGATATCTATAACCCCTGGGGCTTGTCGGAGCCTGGTGCGACGGCCTCAGCAAGAGTATCTCTGCAAAACTCATGACAATTCGTCTCCTCTTGGGGCGCTCGTCCGGGCTGGCCGGTTCGCTTTGTTCCCATCGGGCCACGTTGCTCCTGGGCTCAGGCTTGGACACCAAGCAGTCGAAAGTTCTGTTGTCGACCATTGAACACGCACTGTAAAAGACAGGATTCCTTCGGGGCTGCATAGGTTCTAAACATCTCGTATTGGATCGTATGGGCGAGTCTCGCTTGGCGAATACTCGGTTCGCTGTGGGCTCGAAGACTTTACGCTACCGTCTGAAGGTGCTTGGGCAGTGTGGACATGTATTGGCGAACCCGGTCCTGACCCTGAACTCGTACCTGGTATTCCTTGTAGCATGCTGCCTGCTTCTGTGCAGTCGTCGAGGTCAGCTAGAGTACGTTTGGACAGAGTTTGCCTACCTGCCCGCCAGCCCACATCTATAGGGAGAGTTGCGATTGCACGTACCGTACTTGCGTTGAATATCCCGGAGGAGTTGCGACACGCGCCATTTCAAAATAATCATCTCGACTGGCGGAATACCTTCAGCACTTAGTCGGGCATTGATCCTCTCCAGCATCTGTTCCTTTTCGTTCGCGGGGATGAGGATCCATCTTTTCCAGTCTGGATGCGCCTCAGCAAGCTGCCTCGCCTCGTCTTTTGTTATAAACTAGTAATATTAGCCCGGCTTACCCTTGCGACCAGAGCATACTCACGTAAAAACGGTCCCATTGCTCCTGGCTGTGGTTTGCAGCTGTTCGGGCCTCCTGGACCGTCGCATTTATCCGAATGCTCATAGTGACAGTACGGCCTGGGACAACGACGCCCAAAGCAATGCCAGCCAGTTTCTGGATTCACGGAAAGCAAGAGAAGCAGGAGATTTGAGGGCACCGCGGTTCACCCCCCGCTTCGTTCTAGCCTTGGCAGGACTTTGTTTTTGGAGAGGCTGAGGTGAGGAACTGTGACAGTGCTCGCAGGGCTCGGGCCAGAGAGAGTGTCGGAATCGGCGGTGGCTGAAATGCTTGTGCGTCATATCAACTGGCATCATTGGCAGGCAGCAGATTCAGGTAGGAACGGCAATTTCTCATGCCTTATTGCTTTTCTACCTCGTCATGCAAGAAGTGGCTTCTCGTGCAATATTGACCTGGTGGTGAGGCTTCGGACACAACCAGACCAGCTCCCGCCATCGAAATTGATGCCGTACGCCCACCACTTGAATGCCCAAGCACGGACATTCGGTAGCGTTCGGCAACACGATTGCTCAGTAGTTTCAAACTCGAGGGCGATTGCTATTCTGTTTGCGGCTGGTCATCACAGTCAGGAGTGGCACAAATACAACGCACGCCATCTTCTTCGAGCCGCATACAGCCCAAAGCAACCGATCCCGCACGGCCATGTCTGACCAACAAGGAGGCCATCCAGGAGGTGCCAGCATCCTTGTTCGCGAGCGCCCTCCGCCGCTGCCGAGCGCGGAAAATTCGATACTGTATGCGTTCGGCCGCTACCTGGTCGATCAACCGTGTGCGCGGACCCGGGGTCAGACTTGGAAGTCTAGGTCACATTTCCGGCCCTAACCGGCCCGAGCCTCAACGTGCAGCACGTCCCAGGGCCATCCTGGAGACAAGAATTCAGTGCGTCACAGACGACTATTGTGGTTGGAGTGCTTACTATCCAAGTTTCCCTGGACCATGCCCCAGAATCTAACTCTGAAACGTACCCTGGAGTGACGGCTTCCTGGCTCCGTCTAGTACCACCTCACGCTTCCTTTCATGGCCAGCATCAGGGCGATGCTGTGGGGCATAGCCGGCACGGCAACTTACACCGCGCGCTTTTGGCCTGTTTCACGCGCCAAATGCGCCACGACTCGCGTGGGTCTAGCACAGGCACAGGTAATCCCAGACTCGTGGTCATCGTCGTCACACTGCTGCCATTACTCTGGAGGCGCCACGCGACAGCACTAGACTCAGATCTTTGACATTTATGCAATGCTACTCAGTCAGCGCTGCCACGCACAACCAAGGCGCGCGTTGTACAGCATACGACTGCGTGCGCGATGTCCAGCAAACCGACGTGGACTGCATCATCGAGCGTGGGATTTCCTATATGGTCCATTCCGGATTGGCGCCGTCCTACGTATGCCCAAAATATTGTGAGCGCCGAACGTCTGTCCGACTATTGAATCAACTTCTCACGTCCATCTTTCACCGCTAATCTCATGGCTTACATTTCCCTGCGTGGCACACATGACCCCCACACCACCACGGCGCTCCGTTGGCCATATATAACTGCCGTCATACTGCGAGCAATCTGAGGAAATGGATTGAGTAATGTTCCTCGAGCCTCATAAAAGCAATGCCATTAAAGGAATAACGGGGATATCGGTTTCCCCGAGGGCCGGCTCATACCCGCTCTTGTGGAGATGAAAGGACCAGGATCGACTGTTCATTACCCCTTGTCCTGGTGCTCGATACGAAAACGTCGCGACACAGCCACAGCTCGCGGGTCCTTGGCACTAGCGATTGGTGTCACATTGGAGTCTTCTATACTTTCTTCTTCGAATATTACAAGGAACTTTTGGTACCTGCACCCGCATCTCCACTTTGGCGTGCATGCAGACGTTGACTGCAAGTGCGTTGCTGCAGCCTTATGTACTCGGAAAAGAGAGCGGCCTGAAGCAGCGGGTGCATATACTTCTTTTTCAAGTTCCTTCTCACTGGTCTTCACCTGGAGTTTTTCCTATTGCAACAAGGCGATTCGTGCTCGTTGTGCACGTCCTTGCCAGCGCCAGATCCGGATTACGCGGCATTTGGTTACGGCCATTTTACTGAGTGGTGTATTTGATCGGTTAGGACTTTCTTTTTTCGTGGCCATCATCACACTCATTTCGCTATCACGACGCATAATCTCAAACGAGAACACTGCTTCGACCACTCCAAAGGCACAGATCCTTAAGGAAGGTAACATACCTACTTTCCGTGCGATATGCAGTCTTTCTCACAAACATCTTTCCACAATGTGGTCTTGTCACAAGGCTGAGATAGAATGCTCAGGCAGGTGCACCAGATGCATTGGAAGTTTTTCTTCTGACAGCTGCATCATTCCAATTTGCGAGGGTGCTTAGCTCTAACCACACAGAACCCATCTTTACCATATATAGCCAACTAGTCAATGTACGAAAACTTACCGTGTACGGAACGGGAACTAAAGCCTGCGTCCAAAGCCAGTCAGCAATCAGAAAAGAGAAGAGCTATTGCGACCAGGGTGACCGCTGATCTGTGACTAATCGGGTTGGCAGGCATTACTATTTGAGAATGTCGATATGAAATTCACAGAAAAGTTCGAGAGCTCATGTCATGCTAACACAATCGTGGAAAACCAGACCGTAGTCGTTTCAGTCAATACATACATATCACTAAACGAGTCGCGTCGATTGCATTCTATTTCTGGTACGAACCTTGTTCGTTGTTATCAGCAGTCTGAAACTGGTTGTCTTGTTAACGACTAGGGCTCCATCCAATTTACTGTGCTCGGGTGTGATCTCCGGACTTGCAGCAAGGATTCTTAACCGCGGTGAAATTCAACACTTTCGTTTTCACGTGTATACTTGGCAATACTCGACTTCCACAACGGTAAGTCTTTAATGCACCAATTATTGGTATTATAGTATAACCTGGGCTGCTATATGACGCCACAACTTGTAGAACTTGTTCTGCTCCATGTAAGAGAAGTATACGATATGACCTCATTTGGAGTGGGGCATGTGATGCTGCCTTGTATCGAGTACTTATGGATGAAGTTGGTGAAATACAACGTGTTTCTTTTTTTGAAGAGACTATACGGCACAGGCCCAAGGAGCAAACACTGGACTTAAAATCATGAAACTGCTTCCAACACTCTTTTTGAGCGCAACTGCTGCTGCACTGCCAGCATCAGTTGATATTTCTGCCCAAGCATCCATTTCAAAAATTGACGGCCTAAAGTTCAACATCGATGGCACAACCAAATACTACGCCGGTACAAACTCGTACTGGATGCCCTTTTTAACCAACGACACCGATGTCAACATCAGCATGAGCCACCTCGCCGCCTCCGGCACCAAGATTCTCAGAGTATGGGGTTTCAACGACGTAGAAGGCGAGCCTGATTCCTCTAGCGTCTACTTCCAATCTTTCTCCGGCTCCACCGCCACCATCAACACGGGCGCAAACGGCCTCCAACGCCTCGACGCTGTGGTCGCCTCTGCCTCAACCTACGGCATAAAACTAATCATCCCCTTTGTAAACAACTGGCAAGACTATGGCGGCATGCACGCCTACTTCCGTGCCTGCGGCGTCTTCATCAATGCGCAGTGGTACACAAAAGCTGAATGCCAGGCCATGTACCACGCCTACATCGCCGCCGTCATATCGCGGTACCGTGACTCACCCGCAATTTTCGCATGGGAACTCGCCAACGAGCCGCGATGCAGGTTGTGTCCTACCTCTATACTTACAAACTGGATCAGGCAGACGAGCGATTACGTTCGCTCGCTAGATCCAGAACACCTGATTACTGTAGGCGATGAAGGATTCGGACTTGAAGGCGGTGCATGGTTCCAGTATCCATACTGGTACATCGAAGGTATAGACTGGGCTGCTAATCTTGCTCTGCCGAATATTTCGTTTGGCACATTCCATTTGTATCCCGAGCATTGGCTTGTTGGCGGCTCGTTTGGCGACGAGTGGATCAGGTCGCATGCAGAGGTCTGTGCACGGATCGGGAAACCGTGTTTACTGGAGGAATATGGGGTTTCGAAGAGGGAAGAACAGTGTGCAGTGGAAGGGGCATGGCAAGAGACAAGTTTGGGGCTGAGAGAAGGTGGTATGGCGGGGGACTTGTTTTGGCAACTAGGAGATACTGTTGTTAGTACGGGGAACGCAACACATGATGATGGGTTTACGGTTTACTATGGGAGTGAGGAGTGGAAGTGTTTGGTTGATGAACACGTTGAATCTATTAGGTGAGAATAGGAACGGGGTGGGCCTCTCTTATTTATCACATGAAAGTACGGTAGGAAGACGCGCAGTCATTATCCTAATTTGTTTCGCGCGCAAGACTCTTATGCGCAGTAATATTAAGGTCCCAATTACTGTATGTTTTTCTTCGGAGATAGTACGAATGCGCCTATCTGCGCCTACTACTAGCTGGAGTCGCCTTCCCCTCAGAACGATAATAGGTCGCGCCTTTTTCTGACGTCAAGCCCGCTAAAAGGAGGGGCTCTGTGGCACTGACCACCAATATTCTCAGCTGTATTTACTACCGCACGACTACGCCACATCGATTGCTGTAAGCAAGGGATTCAACTGTGCACCCTTAACCCCCACGAACCAACACCCTTCATTTCCGCTTACAAGTACTTCTGCACAGCCTGGCCCGCTGGGTCTTTTATTTGCCCCGTTTACTCGGTGCACGTAGCAAATTCCCAAAGGAGGTACAGCGCCGTCTGACAGGTATCGCGTAGTCAAAATGCGCACAAAGCGTAAGGCCAGCTACGCACTACAGCTCTACCGGCCCATGGGCGGGGGCCGCAAACCCAGGCCGGACAAAGACTAGATCTCGTCTGGAGTGCTGTGGTGTGGGAAAGGCGTGAATGTGATATTTTGGGGGCTAGATGTGCCTTAGGCGCCACAAAGACGCACAGTCTTACAGCAGCACGCAGCACACAGCAAGCAGCCGCCCGTCGAGCGCCAGAGCTGAAAAAGGTGCACGAGATTGGCGGCGGAACAATAATTACTAGTAGTCTTGCGGCAAACCCCCGCCAGCCCTAGCCTTTCAGCCGGGAAGCGGCTGAGCGCTACATACCTCTTTTCTCTCCATTGCTGATTCTACATCTTTTACCTGAAACCAGCCCTTTGTTTCCTTCTAGTGTATGACTGTGAAACCGTACTTGTCACCCCCTCCTATCGCCTGTTGAGCCACACATGCACAGCCTTTGGTTCTAACAGGGACTTTGTCTATCTGCCAAAACATACAAACTCGACGCAAGCCACCTACTAATGCGCGCTGCCGCTTTTGCGTCTGTAAAATCAGACTGAAAAACGTACAAAAAGAGAACCAGCAAAGAAACGAGGTGTAGGGATATATACAGTTGCATGCAATGGCTGACCGTCGACCACTTATTCAAGAGACGCCGGATCTCTCTGAGAGCTCTGATAACACCCCCGCATTACCGTCTCTGGGCTTCTCCAATAACTCTCCTGCCTTTGGGGTCACTGGTTGTTCGCCCACGCGACCAGGCTACGCTCGCTACCAGAGTGACTCGACGGCTGTGAGCCGCAACACACCGAGTATCGTGCAAGAAGAGGACGAAGAAGACGAAGGCGACATCGCACAAAGTTTCCAGCAGGGGGGGAAAGACACCGGGCTAGGAATTGCTACCACTGCAACCAGTGCCGTACCTCAGGCCGCCAGGCGCGTCAGTATCCAGCCTTTCCCCCGTCGAGCCGCTGGCCCTGGACCCAAAAGCCCTCCAGCAAAGAGCCCAGGTCCACTCTCACCTCTCAGCGCTACAGACCCTTATTTTGGCCATTTCCCGAGGAGCTCAGCAGAATCGACGCCGGATCTCCGCCGAGAAAGGTTCAGTCCTGAGGTTGGGAGAGCGAGTCCCGTAGGCTCGTATGAAGAGTTTCGCCATGGAATCTTGAAGAATGTGAAGCAAAACAGCAGCACGAGCGTGAACGACTACGAGAACTACATTCAGTCGTCGGATGCGCAGAGATTGAGGGGCGGTGGTGCGGCGCCCTCGATCAAGTCAGCGTACGAGAATGATTTCCGCCCTGTGCACGAGTGTCCGACGACAAAAGACTTTTACCATCCAAAGTTCACGTGGCTGAACTTGTCGATTTTCACTGTTTGTCTCTTTTCTTGCGTCTTTTCCGGTATCTTTTTGGCGCTTGCAATCCGCGCTCCGCACTATGGACGGCGCATAACAAGTCACGGACCTATCACCCCGTCTGATGCCATTTTGATCACAACAGTCATGGCAAAGTTGATCGAGTTGTCGTTCGTCACGGCTTTTGTCACATTTCTCGGGCAAGTGCTCAGCCGACGAGCATTTATGAAAGATCACGGCCGCGGCGTCACGCTCTCGGAACTAAGTATGTGGCGATGGGTAGTCCAGCCAGGCACGCTGATCACATCGTGGGAGTCTGCCAAATACGCTGGCCTCTCCTTCCTAGGGATACTGAGCTTACTAAGCGCTATACTAGCTACGCTGTATTCTTCTGCTGCCGCATCACTAGTGCAGCCAATGTTGCGAGATGGAAACTGGGATAACGGTCTCGTGCTAGCTGGACGTGTCAAAAGCGACTTTGCCAATATCAATTACCTCAAGCAAATGTGCGAGACACCTATTCGCACGGATAAGGCGCACCAGGGCGAAACGTGCGTGCAGCTGGAACACGCGGGCCAGGGCTACCATAACTTCCAGCGCTACCTGTCCGACTGGGATGTTGTTGCTCGAAACGGAAATGGGAGTTCAGATTTGCGGCTGAGGCCGCAGGGATTCGGGCTCTTGTATGAGAATACGACTGTGACAGGCCAGTGGATCAATATCATTAATACAACGGAGGTGTCGAAGAAGTATGGTCGCGTGATCAACAACATCACAATGGCGATGCCGCATGCGGGTGTGTTTGCAGCAGCACGAGATGAGCGCAATGGGATACTACAGCCAGCAGAACTTAATTCGGAAGGGACGTATTCGCTACGGGCGGCGGTGCCGTCGCCCGTGATTAATGTTTTGTGTGTTAATTTGAACAAGACGGAGCTGGCGCCACTCGTGTACAGCGAATGGCCAAACGATGATACTGTCAACATCACCACATGGGTCACCACGCCAGGCATCAGAGATAGAGCGAGTACACAGAACAAGACGGTAGTCGATGAGCTGTTTGGATGGAACGGCAATGATACGACAACGCTAAACTGGCCACCAGTGTTTGGAAGATACCCAATTCCCTTCAACACAATACTCAATCATACGAGCAATGTATGGGGCCGGCCGGCGATTTACCTGCTCGGGCAAGGCGGACCAGACGACATGGGTAGAGACGGGACGGGCATCTACTCTGTATGCAAGCTTCAAGTCTCGGTTGCGCCTGGGTGCAGCACACGCCACAACGTAACGGGATCCGGCGGGAGCATGGAAGTACTGTGCGAAAACCCAAAGGACAAAATGGCGTTTCGAGAAACAGGAGAAACACCGAGTAAGAACACGTTTGGCGTGGCTAATTGGCGCGATGTCGGGACGGACTGGGCGAATAGCCTTTCGCTAGGCACGGGACTCATGGATGCAAATGCGAGCACATCGAGACTACTAACGCAGTTCATTCTCAAGCCGGATAATGATGATCCAAACAATCTCAAAGTCGAACTAAGTCGTGCGCTGCCGAGTATGGCGGAGGCGCTAGCGGTACTGTCGAGTTGTACGCTACTGTTGAGCATGGTGGATACACCATTTGTGACTACATGGGTACGTGAGTTTTGATATGTAATGAGACACAAGATATCTGACGCTCGTTACAGGATTACACGCATCCCGCGCTGGATGAGTACCAGACACAATACTTTAATGCGTCGCTCAAGGCCCAACAGTACGCATCGGGGGGCATGCCCGGAGCCTCCAAAGCCTGGGTCATTATTCTCGCGCTGGTTTTTCTCATGAACATTTTTGTTCTGATCTACTTCATCCTGCACCGCGGTCTCGTGACGGACTTTTCTGAGCCGCCCAATCTGTTTGCACTGGCAGTCAACTCACCGCCTTCGCATGTGCTCGCCGGGTCGTGTGGCGGCGGGCCTCAGGGCAAGCAGTACGGGGTGAATTGGTTCGTCAACCACGAGGGCAGCCATCTGTACATGGAACCAGGCGAGAAAGCACCTCTCATGGGCGGATGTGAAGATGGGCATGTGCATACACGAGCAGCTGGTCAGGGCATGGGCAGAGGGGTCAGCGGTTTCATGGCGTCAGTGACAGAAACGGTGAAACGCGGGCTAGGGCTCAGAATAGAACAGAGGCCAGCCAAGCTGGGGTCGATTAGTGCCGTCGAGGGTTTCCGGCCGGCAGTTAATACGCTGAGACGGGGCAGCATTCCGTCTAACTATGAGATGGAAGATGGGCTGACAAGGACACGGCGGCAGTACCAGAAGCTGTCGAAGAGGAGGAGCGTGCTGTGAAGGGACGGAACGGGTACATGTCATATTATGTCGTGTAGTGCAATGTACTTACATACAGCATAAAGCCTGTTCGTTTCCCCAGATTGACACTAGGGGCTCCCTGGCTGGGTGGGCGGGCTGGAGACGGGAGCGGTGGTGTCAGCAGCAGAAGTGGAAGAGTGAATGTCGGCGGGGTCCGGACGCCGGCTCGGGAAGCTTGGCGGACCGGGGGCAGGCGGGCAGCAATAAGCGAGTGGTTCGGCGACTAGGCTGTGATGGGCAGGCCAGGTGGGCGGTCGTGTGTGCGTCTGTCTCTGGGCCTGGGCGGCCGTAGTCTGGCTGGCTGGCATGTGAACATGGAACTTCTCATGCGCGCATCCGCCCGACTTACCTTCACCACTGCCCTCTGCGCCCAAGCACCCCCCGTGAGCCACGCCCCCCGCCTCGCTTTTGCCTGCTGAGCAAGCTGCTGGATATGCCCCGCCCCGTAGATACACCAAAAACCTGACCCCAACGCGGCGCCGCCAGCAGTCATAGTCACAGCCACAACAGAAGCTACTGCCATTGCGATCCGCCCTACTTCTTCACGTCATACCGCGCCAAACACTTCCCAACAGCGCCCCGATAGCCTCAATCGCAGAGCCTCGCACCACCATCGCCGCTGGACCGGCCCGCCGAATGCGCTAATCTTGTCTCCGCCCCCGGCCATTCGCCCTCGTCCTTCGACCCTCATCCCTCATCCACATCACTCTCCACTCTCAACCCTCCGTCCCATCCTTCTGCCCGCCCTTCAACCTGGCGGCACTGTCGCACCAGTCGTTCGCGGGGCTCGCGGGTGCTACGGCCGCAGGCCTCCCTCGTCCCGCCATGAACGACAAGGACCCGCCGCCATTTGGCTGTATGCTACCCCAGTTCCCTCCATCACCGCCACTTCTAGCACTGACAAGTCCGGTCCAGACACCTTCGCCGACGACTTCTTCGACAACGCGGCCCCTCACTATGACAACAATGGCCCCTCGCTGCTCAGCGACATGGAAAATCAGCAGCTCGACAACTTCTTCTCCTCCACCAACCCCTTCGACCTGCTTGACCCCCAACACATACCCCCCGCTCTCGATGACAAGTCAACCGCCCACGACTACAACAACTGGGAGGACTTCATCGCCCCGCCCACCGTCCACCGCGTCACCAGCACCATACCCGACCAGGCTCGCCTCCAGACCACCTTCCAACAAGAACCCCACCACGCTTCTTCGTCCTCGCTCCACAGCAGCTTCCTAGCAAACACCCAGGATGAGCTCCAGGCAGCTGCCACTCTCTTCAACCACGCCCAGCCCTCGTATACAAACGGCCGCCTGCACAGCTTTCCTGAGCAGCCGGCTGCGGCTAGCAATTTCCTGACAAACGTCGCGCCCAGCCTGAATCACGCTCCTCTGCCAATGAGCGTCCAACCGCACGGCCTCATGAACCAGCGTATGCCCTCGCTGCTGCCGAATCACGGCGGACATGCCCTAGACCCCCAGTTCCCACCGCAGTGGACAAACAAGGCCCCGCAGCACACCCAAACAGACTTTGGTCCGCCGTTGCAGAAGATCGACCTAAAGAGGTCTTATACTTTTGGCACAGACAACTCATTCAATAGCCCATCCGGGTACTCGGGCGCAAACGGCCGCTCGGCCGAGCACAGCGCGGCAAGGCATTCCATCAACGACGTGGAAGAGACCCACCAGCATCTTTTACGAGCAGTAGCAGGCATCGACACCGCGCGCACTACCTCGGTTGCATATCAAGACTCATCATCAGCCGTTGCCGGTGCATCACGCGACGATGACGACGAAGAGCAGTCTGACGACTCCGCATCTCAGGAAGAGCATGACGACCGACCAGCAAAAAGGCGGAAGAAGTCCATAGCCCAACCTGGAAAGGAAACCCCGAGAAAGGCTGCGCGTAATGGAAAAGCTCGCAAGACGTCGCTTACAGATGAGAGTAAGAAGAAGCGGACTGCAGCAAGTACTCAAAAGACACATCGCGAAAATCTGACCGAAGAGCAAAAGCGAAATAACCATATTCTTTCTGAACAGAAGCGCCGCGATTTAATCAAGCAAGGCTACAAGGACTTGAACGAAGTCGTGCCTGCAGTTCGCGGCGGTGGGTTGAGCAAGAGTCAGATATTGGTTGAGGCAGCAACGTTTTTGGAAAAGTTGATCGAGGACAACATTGCATATCGGAAAGTGGCAGGGTGATGAGAGATGGAAGCAAAAAAAGTTCTACCTCGCCTTCAACCGACTTGAGCATATGAGTTCAGTTGGGTAACGCTTGTTGCATTGATGAGTGCTGATGCCACGAGTGCTCCGTGGTGATTGAGTATGAGGGAAAGGAAAACCCGGCTTTTTGGGTACCGGAAATTAGAAGAAAAAACATGTCTTACTAAGGTCATGGGTATTGGAAAGGTGGAAGAAACAAAAAAATCTCACTGGACGCATTTTGCGCAGTCCACTGAGATGAAGGATTCACTCGGTATGAATCAGGAGTTTATGGAGACTGCGATACCCCCTTCTCCCTTTTTATTTTTATTTTTTTTTGTATTTTGGAAAGGCAGATACATCTGCATACATAGAAAACCCATTTCTATCTGTTGAATATTTGAAGAGCAAAAAAACGAAGAGAAAAGTTTATGCAACGTTACTCACAATGTGTCCGGTCACATAACTAACATGACATATTCATCTTTCATTTCTGCTTTGCCAAACCCCCTCCAACGCCGCCCCTTCCGAAAAAAAAGAGAGAAAAACACAAAAATCTACGCCTTACCCATCGCCGCCGCCGCAGCCGCCGTATTCATAACACCCTCCTCTGGAATCACAATCCGCATCGCCTCATCCCTCACCCTCGCTGGCCCACTCTCATGCCCCCTCGGCACCCCCGGCACCCTCTTCACCTTCCCCATCTTTGCACCGCCTGGTCCAAAATTCTTCTTTATCCGTGCAGAGGGATAATCGCAGCGCCCATGATCATTACAGTAGCCCGTCTTGCACTTGTTATTGCTGCGGCACGACGAGCCCAGACAGGCGTCTTTGGAGGTACATGCTACGCACGTGCCCCAGTCGCAGTATTCGTCGGCGGAGCAGTGCGAGGGCGATGTGCAAGGGGCGGGGTGGTGGGTTGGGGGCAGGCAGATGGGGTGTGGGGGGTTTGATCCTGTTGCTGCGATGCGGGGGGGAAGGGAGGAGAAGAGGGCGGGGAGGGAGTCGGTGTGGCACTGGCCTGTTAGGGCATTGGGGAGAATAGGACCGCGTTGTTGGGCCTCGTGTTCTTGTTGTGTGGGGAGGGGGAGGGGGTCGTTTGGTATGCTTCTCTTGCGCTTCTGGGGAGGGGGCTGGATGGTTGTGCGGCCGGTGCAGGGACTGCATTTTCCGGCGGAGCAGAGAAGATGCGGCTGACAGGGTGTTTTGGAGGTGCACATGTCGCCGATCTTGCCGGGTTGCGTGGAGTCGTTGGTGCAGACGCTGTTTTTGCATAGAAGGTGTGGGAGACAGCCGTCTTGGGCGTCGCAGAGGTGGCCTTCGCAGCCAAAGGTGCAGTCGGATTGTTCAAGTACAAAGGGGTTGATGAGGATTGAGGTAACGTTTGAGAGACCGAGGCGCTGGATGGCAAATTCTTGCGTATTCGAGTTTGTGAGCATTGCGCGGAGCTTTTGGGCAGTTTTTTCGTCTTCGGTCAGGGGCTTGATGGAGAAGGGAGCTGGGAGGTAGGTGGACCAGTTGAAGTTTGAGCGTGCAGTTTGAGCGGCTTTCAACACCTGTTTGAGAGCGGTCCAGCTGATATAGCCAGGGTGAACGGGATTGATTCGAGCGGTCTTTCCCTCGTTGATAGTTGTGAGGTGAGAGTATAGCTGTTTTTGTCTTGTCAGTATATCCTTTGGTTCCTTTGCGCGTTGCTGGTGTAAGAATAAAAAAAAGTCCAGGAAAAGTGACGTACCCAAGGTATTCCCCTATAGTTCAACGCATTGCCCTGATCAAACAAGGCTTCTTGCTTGTAAAACAGTCCAAAATCATCATTGTGCACATAACTCCATTCCTCGACCAAGAGCAATTTCCCGTCACCCTTCTTTTTCCCCTTGGCGCGACCCGTCAGCGTATTTCCAGGCACAAACATGTTCGCCCATGGCGTTCCTGCCGTGGCATCGTGTTGCTTGGAGAAATATCCGTGGATCCCGATAATGTCGATGGCTTTGCAGTCAAACACACTGTCGGGGAAGTTTTGCCACTCATCTGGTTTCTGGGCGCCTGAAACGCCACCGCTGATGACGGCGATGGAAGATGCATCGAGGCCAAGTGTAAATTTCAGATGAGAGGCCATGTCACAGATCCAGGACTCGCCAGCGGGAATGGGGAATATACCGCTAAAGGGTTGATTTTGGATGTCGACACCCTGTGCAGTGTTAAAAATCCACAAAGTTTTATATTTCGATTCAAGAAAATGCTTACAAGAATGACTTCAGAGAGTGTGCTCCATGAACGTCCGTCAAAGTTTTTGGAGGGGTAGTGTTTGAAGAAGACTTCGAGACGAGTTTTGTATAGTTCTCGATCTATCAAGCCTAATTAACATTCTCTCCATGGAACGAAAAAATATTGGAAACATACATTTATCGGAACTGTAGAAGTCGAGAAAGTATCCTCCGAGATCCTTGCAGTATGCGTCGCAGGGAACATCGTTAGATCCCCGAAGTGCATGCGCGTCGTGCGGGGCAATAATGACTTTCATCTGGCCTGTACACTTCTGTTAACACATGGAAGAACAATTTCAGATAGTGCGGTATATTGTACCCTTGGAAAGGTGGTGAATAGCCGCCAACGTGTCGTCAAATTGGTCAAGCAAGGACCTGTCAAAAGAGCCCAGCTCTTGCTCGGGCTATGTAAATTCGTCAACCAAGTGCCCTCTTTCTCCTCCATAAGCACACTTCTTACATCTGGATGGAGCTCATCTGGGCGTACTATAAATTTATTAGTATATCATGATAGGATTTTGAAGACTATCACATACTGAATAGCCGTATAACTCTTGCGCCGCTTTTGATGATTTCCTTGATAGTATTGTCTCTGTGCTCCGGTGCAAAGAATTGCAGCTGGGGATAGTTGACACCACCAAAAGAATGATGGTCAGCCGTGATTCTCAAACTGGCGGATACTGGCTCCGTCCATGTCGCTAGTGACACCAGTGTCACAAGAAGTGTTGAGAAGATCATTCTTGTCCGGGAAACATGAACAGATCCGTGACCAAATTCTCAGACGCTGCCTACTTGACACCATATAAGTCTTTTACCAGCATGTGGACACGTATAGGCGATGCCGTACATGGACATGTCTTCAGTAGCAGCTAGGTATAATGTTTACGATATTGAGGTTGCTCATATAAGTAGATTAATTGCGGTGCTTCGTGCAACCAATCACGCGTCACATAAGGTTAAAGTTGGCAGGGATGTAAACTTTGACGACGGAAGAATGAGATTGACTAGGTAAGACAGGCCATATGAAAGAAGTCGACGTCGATCCGACTGACATTGCGGCTGCAATAGCCGGCGAGTCGCCTAAAAGAGAAAAAAGGCAATGAGAGCAGAAAGGTCTTGTGACCCAGAGCGATCAAAACGTGCAATGCCGATTGAGAGCCACTTATGAATAGCCTTGTATAATGTGGAGCTGTTAGTTTGTTCCTGCTTTTGCCCAAATAGTCTTGAGACGCGGGGTCCGCTTCAGGGTACGATACTTAGGCTCGGCGAACCGGCGCTGTACTCCGCGTCCAAAATGATACGAGGCCCGGGAACAAGTAAGATTCCAGTTTCAGGTACGACGCTTCTGTGTCTGTGATCATGTGTAGGTTTCTATGCAAGACTTGTAGTCCCGCCGCAGCCGGCTCTTATGGAGACATGTCTATCCGAGCTTATGTCCAGCGTTCATGCATGGAGAGAGGTTGCAGAATGGCTGCACCGCACATGCAGAACCTGTCTCGGTGAATTGTACACAAAGAAGCAGACCAACCGTCTCTGTTCATGATGAGTTGCCTCAGTAATGGCTACCTCGTGCGGGGTTCATCCTGTTGGCTTCCCACATACAGTCTCGAGTTGTCGAAGAGCTACAGTGACCTCCTCTCCGAGACTATCACCACTGGTTGATACAGGGAAGCGACCGTGTCGTAGGTCGCTGAGTGCGCCAACCACATCTTGCACCTCGCGCAAGACGTCTCTATTCTGCTGCTCTATCTCTGCAATCTGTGCCTCGAGACTTTGGCAAGCCTCTTCAATGTCGGAGTGGACCGTCCATAGCGTGTGTGGTTTCTTGCGACCCTCGCCGGATAGCTGTGTATCGCGTAAGCACGCTGGATATGGTATTGCAAGATCGATGCACACAAACCTCTTGCTCCATCTGAAGTGCAATGGGGTCTAGTCCTGCGACAATTGCATCGTCGACTTGACGCCTCTCGCGCGCATACTCGCGCCTCAGCTGTTTTGATCGCTTGACCTCATCGGCAATGTCTCGACGGACAAGCTCTATGTCCTTGTCGCGCAGTCTCTGAAGCTCCCGGTAGATGTCCTGGACAGCCGGGTTGGCACGATGGGCACGGGGGAATATGTCGGTAAACTCGCGCAATGTGATGAAGTCGCGCAGGGGAGCTGGAGTTAGTAGAAAGTCACACAGAATCTTGGCTTCTTGCGAGGGCATGGTCGGTATAGAGACTGTGCAGTGACAGGGCAGTGTCGTTGGTGGGCTGCTGGGGGAGGAGTCCTGACAACGCGACGCGTGCTGGTCCGTGCGAGAAAAGACTCCCGTGAATCGCCTGCGACGACATTGTTGCAAACGTCGACTGATTTTGTCTGGCCGGATTCATCGGTTGGTTCTTCATTTTGCCTGAAATCAGTATTCACGTTGTCGCTGTAGTCACTTTCGTAAGGCTAGTAGTACACACAGGGGCACGCGATACGTGGTCGGTGAATCTCGCGCACCTTTTACGCCTTCCCTTCTGACTGCCAAACACTTCACCATCAAAATCGCCAGATATCATCGCAACCATGGCGCCAGCAGCTGCACCAGAGGCGACGTTCAGGAAAGATGAGAAAGTGTTTTGTTTTCATCACGAGCTGTTGTACGAGGCCAAGGTTCTTGAAGTCCGACCTGTCGAAGGCGACGAGAAGAAGAATGGCTTCGAGTACAGAGTGCACTATAAGGGATGGAAGAACACGTACGTATATCTCAGCTTACTCATTTCACGTCTACTCGCCGTCCCTGCATCTCCAACTGTTAAGTCATGTTTGCCTTGTCCCCACATGCACTTCAGCCCCCTTTCGCAACCAGGATACCACTGCTTCCGAGACGGGCCTATATCATCTCGAAAACATGTACTCTGCTTATGCACACTCTTCTGGCATCTTTGAGCCAATTTTTAACATTCTGTAGCTGGGACGACTGGGTTCCCGAGGACCGCCTGCGCAAGCTAACCCCCGAGAACCGGGAGTTGGCTAACAACTTGAGACACGAGATGCTGGCGGCTCAACGCGCCGCAAGAGCTCAACCCGCGCCCGCTAAGAAGAAGGCGCAGGGCTCAGTGCGTGGCAGTGAAGAACGGCAAAGCTCTGTCACTGCTGCACCACGTGGTCAAAAGAGGGTTCGCGACAACGACCTCGAAAAGGTATGAAGTCTCGGCGAAGCCAAGCGACTTCTTTGCCTCGAGACGACCGACTAACTGAACCCCAGGAAGAGACATTCCAGAACAAGCTAGCCGTCAGGATTTACATGCCTGATAGGCTGAAAAGTCTCTTGGTTGACGACTGGGAAAACATCACCAAGAACCTGCAGCTGGTGCAGCTGCCTTCAGCACATCCGGCGGGTGTCATTCTTGATGAGTATCAGAAATACGCCATTCAAACTGGAGCTCGCAGCAGCACCGAGCGCGACATTCTTGAAGAGGTGATTGCAGGTCTCAAAGAGTACTTCAACAAGAGTGTTGGGCGTCTCCTGTTGTACCGCTTTGAGCGCGAGCAGTTTTACGACATCTGGACGCGCATTCAACAGCCGACTGACGAGCTCGCTGGTAAGACGCTCGCCGAGATTTACGGTGGCGAGCACCTTTTGCGTCTTCTGGGTAAGCTATTCTCAGGAATATAGATGTCGTGATGATTAACCATGTGTTTTAGTTACGATGCCAGAGCTTATTGCTCAGACCAACATGGATCATCAGGCTGTCACTCGCCTGCGCGAAGAACTCAGCCAAATGACAACGTGGCTGGCCAAGGATGCCCAGATCAACACGTTCTTTGTGCCTACTTATGAGAGCCCAGGACAAGCCTATATTGACAAAGTCAAGTCGAGTACGTAGGAGGATGCCTGGCTCGACCGCAAGAGATCAAGGGCCTCTAATATGTTTTCCTGTTGAGTCACTCTGGCGCAAATGTACTATGATCTGCTGCATGGATGTGGGCATTGTCTGGTTGGCGCACTGGCGTTGTAGTTGGAAGGGTCTGGGGTGGGGGTATTCGGGTGATACCGACATCTTCTCTTTACATGGGTTCCAGCATATTAATATACGTTTCGACGAAAATTTTGTTTTTTGTGTGTCTGCTGACGTCTTAAGATTTCTTGATTACATCCTCCAAGACCCTCACAGCCCAGCTCAGGCATTCGGCCATATTCTCTTCAGCTTCCTTGGGCATGCCATGAATGTCAGTCTCTGCGCAAACTTCGCTGTCTAGCTGGCCGTTGACGTCGCCATTTTCAAACAAGAAACTGTGGTCGTGAACATAGTTGGGCCACACAATCTTGTCTACATAGCCTGGAGGGTCTTGCCAGAAGCCTTCGAGCGTCACGTATCCACTCCTGGCTTCGCGCCTCCGCTTTGCAGTCTCGTAGCTGGTGCGGAGAAAAAGACGGACGTCAAACGTGGAGCGTATGTCTTTCATGTCTTGGGAAAAGAGGAGGAAGCCATCCACGATGCATATCCGCTTTTCGCTCCACTCTGGTTTGCCTTCAAGCAAACCGGCAACTCGCTCGCGCAGTGCCTGGATCTCGGATTCAGGCACGCCATGCTCACCAACACTGTTTTGATCTTCTTGGCTGACTAGCCAGTCTGGACTCTTGCCCTGGTCTTTGATGTGGTCCAGGACTTGTTTGAGCGCAGGCAGGTTGAGTGACTCGATGCAGTCCCAGTCTTGGATTCCATTCTTGACGGGGATTTGAGCATCCGTCAGGTAGAAATCGTCGAGATGCAGGATGAAGAGTTTAGAGGGAGGGAACACGTCGCGCAGTAGGCGGGACAGCGTTGTCTTGCCGGAAGACGAGGGGCCCGATATGCCGACAAGGAGGGGCGAGGACATGGTGATGGTGGTGGGGGGTTGTCTACATCCACGACGGTTCCTGATGGCTATGCATTTGTTGGAGCAGATGAGGTACCGGTACCGGTATTCTGCGCATACTAGCGTCCTATATGCGAGGCGCTTCTATTCATATCTGGGTTAGAGCAGCTTTGACATGCAATATGATCTTACACGTGCGAAATGGTGGGGCCATCGATCGTCGACGGTCCGCTAATTAGGTCCCCGTGTCCCAAGCCTGTACGACGCGACACCAGCACTTGTACATACATACGCACATATATGCTGCGATTGTGCCTGCTCGGCAGAAACAGTTCATGCCAGTAGCCATGGAGCCATCGCCGCTGACCCAAGTCTCGCGGCCCCAGATCTTCCAGCCCAAGATCATTCACCTCTACGAAACCCTATTCAAGGTGTGCTGGTGTCGAATGCGCCTCAACACCACGCCGCTGACTCACGACAGCAAGTAGATGATGAGCCTGTGGAGCCCTCGGAGGGATTCTGGCGGGAATTCTTCCTACACAAGCCAGAACCAGCGGGCCTCAAGCGTGTCCTGGCTTCGATGGCGCCCGACGAGATGCTGCACCAGCAAGCCCATTCGCAGCAACTCTTTAGCCAGGCCATGTTGCGCATAAAGCAAGCCAAAGCCCCGGCCGACGATATCGCCCTCGAGGTACGCCTACGGCATGCGCATTCACAGGCCACACGCGCTTACCGCTTAGACCTTGACAGTCTTCCTCGACGCCGCCCTTGCTAAGAAGTACACCAACCCAAGCTCCGACATCATCTCTGTCCTTGCTGGTCTTAACGATGCCGATGCCGTCATGACTGACTTTGTCGCTACACTGGACACTGCCATACGCAATGGACGAGACAGTATGTTGTCTCACTATTAGCTGCAACAGGAAACTGACTACGAGTAGTATCGCTGCGTCAAAAGGCGATTCGATGCGCTCTCGCCATGACTGCTGCGGGCTTCCAGACAGCACTACCCTCCTACTTCACCCATCGAGACCTCTTCCCCGCACTCGTCAAATATACACATGACTGTGACAACAGCACCGACATTCTGCCTGCCTTATACCTTCTCGGCCTACTCGCAAACTACAACAAGTTCGAGTTCCAGAATCCCTACAGACTGCGACTGGAGGATTTCGTAAACGACGCCATTATACAGGACATGATAGCATGTCTGGGCACTACTTGCACAAAACTGCGTGATGCTTACGTGGCCGTTCAGGATGACATGCCCGAGGGCTGGACGCTGGGTTCGACATTGAGCTACATTGGCTTGGGTGCTCTCGCCCCAAACTCTCGACCTGCATCACCCGTGCCCCCACCCCTGGACGAAGCAAAACCGCTATTTGCTGGAATGTAAGCATAAATGACTGTAATGTACCCAACAACTGCTGATAATCATCTAGGCCAGGGCTAGAGGCTGGCGCGCTCCTCTCTACCTTTGACTTTGCTAATGCCAACAAGGTCTTCTGTTACAACTTGGTTACCTTCGGGTTAGGCAATAAGAACCAATCGCCGCCTTTTAGCGAGTTCCTCTCTGTGACTTCGTACATGTTCCAGCATGCACATCGGTCTACCAGAGCCGCCTTATACACGTATCTAAATCTGTTCGTCCTACAAATACTCGTCGAGGACCCGGCCCTTTGCAAGCGCTTGTGCAGTGACGAGACGAAGCTTTCGGTGCGCCTGTGTCGTCAACGACAGCCCTATCTTCCAATCGTGAGAGGCGAGCGGGTTCCTGCAGCCATCATCCTAGACATGATGTCCGATGGGATCAGTCACAACCTGCGGAGACGTTTAGATGTAGACTTTTACATGTGAGTACTTTGATGCTATCGTCATTTCCTGGCTAACATATGTAGCCTATGTCTCGGTGTTTTGTTGCGGCTGCTCTCGTACCTCAGTCGCACAAAAGCCCGCATCACGTATCACTGGTCGGAGCTTTGGAGAACACTACTATCGTTTGTCCGGTTCCTCACCACATACGAGAGCGACATCAAATCAAACTACAAGTCGAATGGAATGATCAATCTCTTGGTCAATCTGTTGGCTTTTGCCCTCTCCAGTGGAGAAAACTTCCTTCCAGACTCTGCGGCATACGACGATCTCTTCTACAAACTAGTTGAGAGTGGCGACGTTCTTATCAAATTCAGGGATGCCTTTGGCCTATCTGGTCAATCTGACTCGATGCAGACACTTGTGAATGTCTCATCTCACTATCATTCATTGCTTGAAGAGAAGGGGAAATCACGTAGCAAACATCTGAGTCCACAAGAGGTGCAGGCCGTGATCAAGCAGGGATATGAGACTCTGTCCATTGATGCTAGCGAAGGCTTGGATAGATGGGAAGCTTTCCGTGAAGCGGATTTCAAGTCACTTCTGAAAAAGATTGCGAGGGCCGCTGTGGAAGACGCCAAAGCGCTGAATAGCGATAGCTGAGGCCAATATTCAACGATATCCATTACAACATGATTCGCAGCAATGGGGTCTACATGATACCATCTGGATTACTTGTCAGTAGCACAAATGCAAAACACCAGTTACGAACATTCCTTGAAGAGCGTGTGATTGCATTCTTTGGTTCCAGGGTCCTGTTGAGCGAAATTACGTGCATAACTGCGTTCTAGCTGCTTCTGTTAGTTGTATTACTTGGTACACCCAAAGACAAGACCTCGAGTACATGTCAGCACTACAGCCTCGAACCTGGTTGTCGGTGTCAATCAGGGATCATCGGACTTATACATTGCCCTCGATTCCTCGCAGCCAGTATGAAACGCTGTATTATCTCATTCCAAGTCCAAGTGTGTGATTCTTGTTGATGTCCTGAGACACCTTTCTTCTTCACTCAAGTCATAGACCCGCTGTCTGCAAGCAATGGCTTCTGTACCGCCTCCTATGACTGACACTGCGACGTGGCCAAGAAAAAAGGTATGTGAGTTGCTCTGTATGTGGAGGCTGTGTTGACAATACTATTAGAATGTATCTGCCGCCGGGTTTCCACAGGTGGCACCGCCAGCACATATGAAAGTATCAGGTGATGCCACAGCTGACTCTGCAGACGTGAGCACTCCTCCTTGGGATGGCAATCATGTCACGCATCCAGCGATGGCCAATACGCCTATTGACTACCCCGGGAAGTTGGTTACACCCGCAGGCTATCACCTCGGGCCTCATGGTGAAGGCTGGCATTCTCCTCGTTCATCTTTATCAAGGTACCGGCACGAGTACTCGACGCTCTCTCCGGCCAGGCGCGAGAACCCAAAGATGATGGGTTTCGTGACGAGTCTTGTTGTGCCGACCCCAAAGATGAGGCCGGATTACGATGTTGTGGCTGAGTATCAAGGACTCAAGCTAGGTCGTATCAGTGACGCCGTTCCTTACTGTACGTACCCTTTTTGGCCACATTACTGGGAAGAAGTTTGCTGCTAACATATCTTCTTCGTCTAATCCAGTACTCGGGCCTCGCAGCATAATGGACAGATTCCAAGTGGTACTCGAGCACTTACAGGAGCACCTACAGCCATCTTCTTCCCACTACACAGCCTCGTCCCAAGATACTCCGCAACTAGCTTATACAGCACGAGACAAAGCACTCATGGCGATCCTAACCTCGCTCAGCACGCCCGAAAGCCTGCGTCTGGAAAAAGGAGACTGGTACCCCCAAGGCCTAGCTGCCCGCCACGACGCCCTCGTCCTATACGAAAACACCGCCAGCAATGGCATCCGCCTCGCATACGTCTCGCTCACCGACTTCATCCAACAAGCGCAAACATGGCTCCTCGCCCCCAACCCTACCAACAAATCCGGCGACGCACCCCACGCCAAAAACCCCTGGCCCCCCATCGCCGCCCAACTCCGCTCCAAAGGCGTCGACATCTCCAAACTAGACCTCGAAATCTACCTCGACCTAACCCAGCACCTCTCCGCCTCGGATCTCCCTGCTAAACTCGATGAAATCGCCCAGTGGGCCCGCAACGGCACCCTCGACGCGCGCTACGAGAAATTCATCGCAGAAAAAGAAGAAGCTGCTGCTGCTGCTCAAGCTAAGAACCGTGGGTCTCGACCTCTGCTACGTACTTCTGGTGCGAATGACGCCGCGGACACGGTATTTGGTGGGCCCGAAGCTTTGTATTCCAAGCGCTTTACGCACGAGTATCCTATGGGGAAGGCGGCGTCGGTGAAGGTGAAGCGGGAGCAGCGTAGTGAGCGGTCGAGGGAGGAGGTGGAGAAGAGTGTTTTGGCTAATGCGGAGCGGATTCGGAAAATGGAGAGGGGAAGGGCGAATGGGGGTGAGCATGTGATGGTTGTGGATGAGACGGAGAAGCAGAGGAGGAGGAAGAGGCATCGAGCATTTTTTGTCACTTTTATGGTTGTATTATTTGGAGGGGCGGTTGGAGCTATGTTGTGGGCTATGGGGACTAGACGGTGGGATTTTACGGCCGGGGGGCAGACGCAGTGAGTTGGGGGGGGGGAGTGATGCATGATTCTGCTCTCCTGTGGATGAAATGGGAGGAGTAGAGGTTCTTTTACTTTGGCTTGTTACGTTAATTTCTCATGTTAGTGAGAAGAGGACCCTTTTGGAGATGAAGGATAGACGCCATTGATTCTGTCTTTTCCCTTAAAAAAAACAGCTCGATACTCAACGTACGTATGCCAAGTAATCAAGCGTGTTCGTTCGTTCCTCCTTCCACTAAAAGTAACTTAACACTAGTAAGTAACATGCACGGAAGTACCCGCACTCCCAAAATAAACACCTCTAATCTCCCTTTCCCAATCTCCACCCCTAGAAGCCACATATACTTGGGTGTTCTTACGCACACCTTACCAATTTACACCCTTCCCGTGCCTACAACTCCCAGCCGCATCTCCTAATCTCTCTCCCCCCAACCCCCAACCCCTTCTTTCGTTCGCCGTATTCCACCGTCACCACTAAATCCCGTCTAGTCCCCCAACCAGACAACTCCCCCTCTCCCCATCTCTTCCAATCTCTCAATTGAATTCAAATAGTTCCCACCTTTAATCTCCCCTACTTCCCCCATCTCCCACCACACAAATACCTACTCCTCCCCCAAATCTTAATAACCTTTTGCAGTATACCCGTTCGTGTACGCACACGCGGTGCACTGAATCAGCGATCGACGGGAACTAGTTTCTTAGAACAATTTTTTTTTCTGTTGAGGGGTTTGGTGGTTCCCTGTGGCTTGAGCGCATGCTGGGCCGGCGCTGGAGATAAGTGCAAGGGGAAGCTAGGGTATCAGGGTGGTTAGGGCGGCCACGTGGGAAGAAGAGGGGAGGGGGGCGGAAGGGGAAGCTAGAGTGGTAGAGTTTCTGGTGGACGGGTGGTCTGGGCTTTTGGTATTGGGTGGTGAAGGATAAGGATGGATAAGGAGGTTGGATGTTGCGAGATTGGGGCGTATCGATTAGATTGTACGCCAGTTGTAATTTCTTGTTGCTGATCTTATCGGCTTTGCTCCATGTTACTCTGTACGTTGCATGCAAACCTCTCGTCTACAACTACCCTTTTTCGCTACTGTGAGCCAACTCGGAGCCACCCTTCCCTCCCCCGAGATATCGAACTCAAATGCAAATAGAAAAAAACAACAAAAATAAAATGAAATAAACCCCCGCCATCCATCCAAACCATCCCAATCCCAGCCCCCCACCTCAACACGCACAGACACATTCCCTCACGGTCCGACTCCCAACCCTCCCCGTATCACACTTCGAACCGGCGCTCAACGTTTCATCACCACGCAACAACCCCCATTTGCAACCATTGAAGCGCCCCCCTCTTCTCCCAATTCCTTCCTTCTCACTTCCCTTCCCAGTAGGAACACTCGGAGAGATTTTTGTATGATCCCTTCCGGATCCCCCCATTTCTCAAACTTTTCCAAATTAGAAAAACCCCCAAGGAAACAAGAAACGGGCTTGAGAAACGACAAGGATCGTTTGTTCGCGTTTCACATGTCTTACTGTTTTGTTCTGGGATGAGTTTGACAGGGATGGACGTAGACGGGGGAGCTAGTGGCTAGGGCTTAGGGTGTGCATGTGTGCTCGTAACTACATACTATTCTATTACAGATTAGGTGCTATTTTCCTTTAAGGGGGGAAAGGGTGGGTGGGTGTGGTGGTAATTTGGTTCGGTGTTGCGTGAGCGGCGGGAAAGTGGCGGGATTGCGTAGTAGTAGTAGTTAGTGGCATTCGGGAGGATTAATTTGTTGGTGATGTTGCATCATAAGCATAGTATACGCATACGTAGTGTGCATGTCTTCTCACTCTTTTTTATCTGTTACATTTTGTATGGTTGGTTAAGTTTCCAAATTCGCGCGTATGTCGGATCTTTCCATTAGTTAGTGTTGCAACGAAAATCCTCGGTAGGGGGGAGGCGGGGGGGCCACATGCATGTGATGATGTCATTGTACATTGCGCGTGCGAGATTATAGTTTCTGTTGGAGGCCGAAGTTTTGCCTTTTGATGTGCGTCTCTCTTTCTCCATGCATGTATGCGTCAGCAATGACAAAGTACGGGGCGCAGAAAGATTTCTTGGCCAAGCCGGAGAAAACGAGCAGAATAATATAGTAGATGTTTCCGATTTCCGGATCTCAGGATACGAACAACGACGTGTCAAATAGGCGCACGTACTTACGCGGTAGGTAAGGATCAACAAACCCGGTGTTCGCTCGAGCACGCACGCGCTGCGTAGGACCCCCACTTTTTTTGGTGTGTGTGCAATCGATCACAACCGGATTTGGCGATATAGCACCCCATGTGCGCGTGCTTCAATCAGATGGTCGCGTCACAGCCAAATATGTTCCAAGATCCAGAATCCATGTTCAATATGTGACAGTGTAATGTAGTATGTGTGTGAAATCCATCCAGGTTCTACTCTAGGTGATAGAGAGAAAGGAGATACAAAGGAAAATGGCGTATTAGAAAAATATCTATGTAGTAGTATATATGTAATAGTGGAAAAAATGCAATGCTAGTGGATTGAATCCCCCCTGGGGACCAATATATGCAAGTGGTATCTTGAAAACAACAACAACAACAAAAAGCCAACACCGAAAATGCCTGTAAACGCCGCCTGTCGTATTTCTTTGTATTGTGACACTCGTATCTCTGTCTTATTGCACTCGTCATCATGTCTTGTTACTCATCATTTGTGGCTTTGAGCATCGTGGTCAGCTGCTGTCGTCGCTTGTGGTAGCTTCGCTGGCTGACGATGAAGACGACTTGTCAGATGATGGCAGGGGTCCGAGGGTCCAGCGCCAGTCTCTTGTCCTCTTCCGTCGTCCAGCGATCGGGGTCTGGGGACAAGAGTCGCTTTCGTCTTCGGACGAGGACGAATCTCGCTTGTCGCCAGCGCGTGGGCCTTTTGACCGCGGCGAGCTCTCAGCGGATGCAAAGGTCGAGGTGGATCTTTGGAGCGACAGCTGCAGCGGCGATATACTGGTGGTGGAAGACGTGTTGGAAGTATTGACAATCAATGAGTGGTGTGTGGCTGACACGTCCGAGTCGGTGGACGAGGCAACGGACGAGATGGTGGACAGGGTAGAGACGGACGACTCAAGGTCAGAGTGGGCCATTGTGTACCTGGTCGTGGTGATTTCCTCTTCAAGTGGGGTGCGGAAGCAGACGTGCTTCTCTGCGGGAAACATGGGGCGGCTCGAGGCCATCTTGCGCGGTAGTATTGAGCGAGCCGGGCTGTTTGAGAGGATGGAAACGAGGTTGTGGGGTTGCTTGTAGGGTATCGCACTGGTGGCAGAGTCGGCCGAGGCTGATGTGAGTGTTGAGGAGAGGGTGGATGCAGAGCTGGGTGTTGAGGCGGTGTTTGCAGCGGCGGGTAGGTCGCTCTCAATGGACAGGGAGGGTCTTTGTGGGCGCTGCAGAGTGGGGGCTGTCGAGGGGCGTTCGTAGGCGTTTGTGTAAGTGTTGCGAACAGTAGGCGAGGCAGCACTGAGAGTGTCGAGACGGAGGCTGGCGCCCTTTCCTAGGATGCGAGGTTGCTCGGTGTTGATGGACAGCTTAGGGCGGGCGGGTTGCTGGCGCGGCGGGGGTATTATAGGCAGCGAGGCGGTCATGGTGGACATGGCAGATGATTGCGAATATGGCTTGGGCATGGAGGGGTGTGATGGCTGGATAGTCGAGAGCATCATGTGTGCAGCCCGGCGTGCTGGCGGGGAGCGGGCGGGCAGATGATGCGGCGGCGGTGGTGGTCTGGTGGACTGGTGCTGCTAGTGCTCGTGGTGGTGGTGGTGGTGGTGGTGGTATAGCAGCAAGCAAGCAGGCTTGGATTGAGAAAAAAACGAAATGGGGGCGTTGGCGTGGGCGGGTAGGCGGAGGGGTGATGAGGGTATTAAACCGTGGACAGGATACCACCAACCAGCGCCATGGACCCGCCCATGTCCAAGTGCGTCTTGACGACGGCTACGACGAGCTCTCGCGCTGGGACACGAAGCGCTTGGCTGGGGGGAGGGCTTTGCAGCGACAAGGTCCCAAAATACCCCCTCCCCCCCCGGCTAGCGCGGTCCAAAGATAGAGTGCGGAGCGTGGCAAAAAAACACTACAAGACGCAGCATCCAACCGGCCGGCCTTGGCACAGCGCCGTTGCGTCCACACACAGCCCGCCTTGACGCGCCTCAATCAAGCCCATCCAGTCCGGCCAGTCGCCGGCCTCCCCGCACACGCAGCCCGCCGAAACACGCTGCTGCTGCTACGGGCCTGCCCTGCGACATCTGATGCCTCTGCCTCTGCGCTGCATCTGCAATCTGCAATCTACATCCATCGGCATCCCATCGACACTACCTGCCCTACTTACTGCTACTTACACTTACACACTTACGCCCTGCTCCCTCTGCGGCACCACTCCCGGCGCTTCCACCATGCAGCCCGCCGCCGCCAGTCCTGGCCCTCCTCGCAACAAGACCCCCCAGCGCCACACCACCTCCATCATCCTCCACTTTGTTCGTAAGCACCAAGGCCTCCACCACCGCCGCCTCTCAGCCTCGGCCGCCCAGCTAACGCCCTGGTCTTTCGTATCCTCCAGGACTACGTGCGTCTCTGCTTACTCGCTGTGGCAAAGTAGTTGCGCAATCACTAACCCTGTCCGTATTCTTCGTCTCCACAGGACTGCTTCTACGCAAGCGTCTTTGAACACGAAAACCCGGCCTTGAAATCTGTCCCTCTGGCCGTGCAGCAGAAGCAAATCCTCGTCACCTGCAATTACGAGGCCCGCTCCCGAGTATGTCTCGATGCGTCTGCGCCACATGCCCGAGTCATCTGTCATTAACTCTCCTCCTTGCCAGGGTCTGCACAAACTGCAGCTGATTCACGACGCGCAAAAAGCCTGCCCGGATCTGGTCATCGTCCTCGGAGAAGACCTGACCCGTTTTCGTGATGCCTCCAAGCTCCTCTATGCCTTTCTGCGTTCCTTTTCTTGGAACAAGCGTTGCCAGAGGCTAGGTTTCGACGAGGTCCGTTGACCCGCTGCCCTTTTCTTGCTCGACAAGGCCACCTCCGTGTTGAAACATGCCTAGGTCTTCTTGGACGTCACCGACATGATCGAGTACAACGTGTCCATCCTCAATGTCAATGACCTTAGCAACGCCTTCTTTTGTCTTGCCAAGCAGGACCCCACAGTCGGCTTCCCTTACGATGCAACACGCCTGACTGGTCATTTGTATCCCGAATCGGTGAATGATGGCTTAGGTAAGCCACACGACGTGGCTCGCGAGAGCAACCAAACTGCAAGGCTGACGCTCGCCTTTTCTTTTTTGAACGCTCGCGGCTGTTGAGCGCCTACTGAGACTCGTGACCATTGCCCATCATCCTGCCACCAACATCGTCCCCGCCCGTCGTGCAGCCATAGCCGTTTGTTCATGGCGCTAATGTGCAATAGGAACCACTTTGTCAGATCCTCTGCTTCTCCGATTGGCCCTAGCTAGCCATCTGGCGCACCATTTGCGGACGAGGCTCGAATCCCACATGGGCTATACTGCCACTGTTGGTGTTTCGACAAACAAGCTACTGTCAAAGCTTGTCGGTAACACGCACAAGCCCAACGCCCAAACAACCCTAGTCCCACCCTACGTTTCCGACGGGGACAGTAAAACTTTGGATAATGTGACACGCTTCCTTGATGCGCACGAAGTGGGCAAAGTTCCTGGAATAGGCTTCAAAACGGCCCAGAAGCTTCGCGCACATGTGCTGCAGCGCCCAGCAAGTTTCGACACCGGCTTGGTATACGGAGCCACCCAAGAACATGTTTCTGTGCGTGATGTGAGAATGTACCCGGCCATGGGCCCAGAGATGCTCGACAGATTATTGCATGGTCCCGGTGTGCCTCAAGGTACCGGCGCCAGAATATGGGGTCTGCTCAACGGCTGCGATGAAACCAAAGTCGAACAGGCCCGCGAGACTCCACGGCAGATCAGTATAGAAGATAGTTATATGCGTTTGACCACGTTGGATGCAGTAGTCAAAGAGCTGCGTGTGCTTGCCAAGAGACTGATTGAGAGGATGCACATGGATCTGCTTGATGAGGACCAAGATCATGTCCAAGACCAAGACGCACCTTCAGTCCCTCCAGAGACTGCAAAGCGATGGCTGGCTCACCCAAAAACTATTCGTCTATCCACACGACCTCGCCCGCCTCAAAACCCAGATGGCAGTCGAAACCGGTCCTTTGCGCGCATCTCCAGATCTGCTCCCATGCCTAGCTTTGTATTTAGCCTCAAAGACGACATTGCGTCGTTGACCGAAAAGCTACTTTGCGAGACTCTTCTTCCGCTGTTTCGACGACTGCATCCAGAAAAGGGTGGTTGGAACCTCAGTTTGCTGAATGTCGCTGCCACCAATATGGCCGATGCTGCGAGCGACAAAGGCGGCGTTGGAAGAGATATCAGCAAAATGTTCAAGCATCAAGACGAGACCCTGCGGCAATGGAGGGTCGAGGAACCGCCAGCCGCTGTTATGGAATCCGTGCAAAACGTTATTACAGGGAATGGCTCGGGCTTATCGCCCAAAGTGGACGTCTCGAGTGACAAGATTGCTGCAGCATTCGGTTCCGAAGACGTGCCGACGCCTTCTCAAGAGGTCGATACTTCCGCTGCCGATGCATGCGAGATGCAGTACGAGAGTAGTATGACTGACAGGGATTCATTCAGTTGCAGTGAGTGTGGTGCTTTGATGCCGTTATTTGCCATGGGAGCGCATTACCGTTGGCATTCGCAGAGATAGTCCGAGAAATAAGCACCAATGAGCACAAATGAAATCAATGACTCTATGACAGATTGGAATTGGTGACCCTTGGTGATTGCTACCCCGCAAACGAAAGATCTCCCTAAAGACCCTTCCCAAAGGGGCAACACCCCGCAGAACCCGAGATCCGACCCTTATGATGGGCGCTTCGGAACGGCTTCCTTGGCGCTCCGTCATGGCATGTGAACCAAGTGACCTCACCCACATGGCAAGCTTTAAGCAAGGCGCAAATCCGCTATTGCAATGTCCATATTCTACTGAGCATTCAGCCCTAACAATCCTACACAATGCCTGGTTCATCACAACTACCCATCAGTCTCCTGCGCGACACCTTCGTTGCGCGCAGGAACTCGCCCAACGGCCAACTCATTGCCTTTAACATTGATGTGTAAGTCTTCTGGTCAAACGAATTGCAGCACAACATCATCTAACGTTCCAAATAGTTTGCGCAATGTTGTCTTCCTCTTCTTCGTTCTACGATGGTCGCGCATTACCTTCTACCAGCTCAAGGGTCGCGGCATCTTCGGATCGGCCACTGACGCATACTTGAGCATTCGTCGTTATCTCTACGGTGTCTTTCTGCGACTTCCCGGTGTTCGCGAAAAAGTCCAGGAGCAGGTTTCCGAGTCGATCATGGGTTTGGAGCGCAAACTTGTACCCAGTGGACCTGGCGTTCAGCGCCTGACCAGCCTACCGGCCGAGGGATGGAGTGAAGACGAAGTGCGCGCCAAACTCGATGAGCTAGCCAACATGGATCATACCCGCTGGGAGGATGGACGAGTCAGCGGTGCGGTATACCATGGCGGAGATGACCTGATCCGACTACAGACGGAAGCTTTTGGCAAATTTACCGTGTCGAACCCCATCCATCCCGATGTGTTCCCTGGTGTAAGGAAGATGGAGGCTGAGATTGTGGCCATGGTATGTCCGGCTTGCAGGTACTGATCAACAACATGACTAACAGCTGCCAGGTTCTTTCTCTCTTCAATGCTCCCCATGACGCCGTGGGTGTTACGACTTCCGGCGGAACAGAGTCTATTCTCATGGCCTGCCTATCCGCACGCAACAAGGCTTACAAGGAGCGCGGAGTAACGGAGCCCGAGATGATTCTTCCTGAGACCGCACACACCGCTTTCCGCAAGGCCTGTGAATACTTCAAGATCAAGATGCACCTTGTAGAATGCAGGGCCCCGAGCTACAGGGTCCATATCTCGTCCGTCTCCCGTTTGATCAACCCTAACACAGTCCTGCTGGTCGGATCGGCGCCCAACTTCCCTCACGGTATCATCGACGACATATCCGCGCTGAGCAAGCTCGCATACAAGAAGAAGATTCCGTTACACGTTGACTGCTGTCTCGGTTCCCTGCTCGTTCCCATGCTCGCCAAGGCCGGCTTCGATAACGAACCTTTTGACTTCCGCCTCAAGGGCGTTACCAGTATCTCTTGCGACACGCACAAGTACGGATTTGCGCCAAAGGGCAGCTCAACCGTGCTTTACCGCTCTGACGCATACCGCAAATATCAATACTTCATCTCCCCAGACTGGTCCGGCGGCGTATACGCATCACCATCCATTGCAGGCTCTCGTCCCGGTGCGCTGATTGCAGGATGCTGGGCAAGTCTCGTCAGGCAGGGTGCAAACGGCTACCTCGACTCTTGCCTCAAGATTGTCGGCGGCATGAAGAAGATTGAGGCTGCCATTCGTGAAAAGCCCGAGCTATCATCTGACCTCAAGATTATCGGTCGCCCCTTGGTCTCCGTTGTAGCTTTCCTCTCAAATACACTCGACATTTACGACATTGCCGACGGCATGTCAGCTAAGGGATGGCACTTGAACGCTCTGCAGAGCCCGCCTGCTATTCATGTTGCCGTCACGCTGCCCATTGTTGCTGTTGCGGACAAGCTCATCAACGATTTGATCGATGTTACCGAGGAGGTCCGAGAAGCCGAGAGGAAACGCATCGCCGAGGGCAAGGGAGCAAAGGGTGCAGTCAAGGGTGATACCGCTGCACTATATGGTGTTGCAGGTAGCTTGCCCAACAAGAGTGTTGTCGAGGACTTGGCAAAGGGTTTCCTCGACACTCTGTACAAGACCTA